TGTTTCTCCTAGTCTATTGCTAGCTACCCGGGCGGTTTAAGACGAATGTCCCGCTCGCAAACTACTTTCGTTTAACTAAGTGGACCTCCATGTAAAATTGTAAGAATGAGACATCCATCACGTGGATAAACAATGTCGATTCCGGTTGACCTTATGGAGTGCTCGTGTGGCACACTGGAAAAATGATGCAATTCGGCATGGGAGTTCTTCTCGCTGAAGCGGTCTATCAAATGGGTTACGGTTAGCCGTTGGCCCAAATGAGGAGCAACTTTTCTCAGAGCACCTCTAGGTCACACAGCAACTACATACCGGAAAAATCCGCCGGCCCTTGGGCGCCGGCGTGTTTTATCAATGTGGCTTGTATGTAGCTAAAGTTATGTTGAATCTACATGTAATAAGAAAAGTGTCTCTGGAGCAAGTTTTTGCCTCGTCTAACTTGACCCCCCCCCCCCCCCCCCCCCCCCCTCCCCCCCCCCCCCCCCAAGAACATCATATATAGCTCACATATACCATAGCTAAAGTGAAAGGTTGTGTGCGCTTCCTTCTTATCGTCGTTCTTCTCTTGTCGTTGTCCATGCATTGCGCTTCTGCTTTGCATGCGTTTTCTCAGGCTTTGCACCTGCACTCACGTATTTATCGTTTTTTGCAGACTCAGACTGCTTAGAAATCCCCGTGCCACACATGTCCTCATTACTCTCTTGTGTCATGTCTGACGGAATGCTATGTACGTTTGCTGCTTCGCACGGTCTACTTCGCTCATTGTGTCACATGTCATATAATTTGTCTTCTTGCTTGGCAGGCAAGACTTTGCATCCCCCAATTTCATCTCCCTGTTATCTTATTGTATCATAATGCACGTCATTTCATGTAGGCTCCTCTGTTGCTCCAGCTGTGTTCTGGATGATGCTGTTACTTTTTCTGCTCTGTTGCAGTCTTTCCTCTTGACGCAAAAGGTAATCCGCATCTTGGGACCATTGGCTGAAAAGGCCGGCGGAACAACCCGCAGGGTGTAAATAGATCTTCTACATGCTTGAAAGCTAGCCGAAACTCCTGGAATTCCCATAGAAAAGGGGCCGCAACACACGACCCGCTCCAAACCTTCCTCAAACTGAAAACAAGTTCCCCACCGAAGAACTCTCTGCTTTTGTCGGCGTATTAAGAGTGGAAGACTCTGCAGCCAAAAATATCTAAAGGAAGAGTGGATGAAACCCATTGGACTCGATATGCCGGGTTTCTACCATATGTCGGTTCGATAAATCCACAGGCTTCAAGTCTACCTGTTGGTCTGCCCGCCTCACGTTCTCAGTCTGCAGGCCCTTGAAGCTCTCCACCGGCACGTGCTGCACCAAGGTGAACATCCTCAGCTTGAACAGCCGGGGAAAAGGACGCGCAACACGTGAAAAGCATCGTTCACGCCCGTTCGGTGGGAGAAATGCTGCAGCAGGGAAAGGTTGTCACGCCCTTCAGCAACAGTGGAAAGGTTTAAAAACTCCAGGATCATTCAGTCGCCAACTGTCAACATTTGTTTCAGTTTTCAGGTTGCTTTGGGAAGAATAAGCTGCTGCACAGCCTGAAGCACCAGTGGGCCACCTTCGTAGTTTGGAACTCGATCGATTCACCTCCCCGCCTCCCCGGCGAGCTCCCGAAGCCCGACAGTCTCCGGGTGCTTTCCAAGGGGCTTCTCCTTGGCTTCTTCGTCCTGGTGACTGTAGCGAACCGGACCGGGTCCAGTGCTTGGTGACACCCTCCGTTGGTCCTGCTTCACCCTATGGATGGAAGGGGGAAATTGCCTTGCCAAAGGGTGAAGCCAAGAGTGGAGCCAAGTTTTGGACTTCAGAAGCCACTATATACATGGTGGAGGCCATCGCTATTGGGTTGGAGGCCATCGCTATTAGGTTGGAGGCCATCGCTACTAGTGACAATAAACAAGTGTGGCGACCATTCCGATGTTTCTTCTTCTTGACACTACCTGGAATGGAATGGCCCCTCCATGCCAACTGGACCCGAAAAACCTTACAGCAAAGGGGTGTCGCAAAAAGAGAGGAGACCTCAAAAGACCACAAATACAGGTAGATGAAAGCTCGATTGTTCAGGGTACCCAGGTAGCTTCGTTTTGAGTGATTTCATTGGGATTGAGTTCTGAGGACTGGACTGAGATTGCTGGTGCATGTGTTGCTGGGCTATTTTCGCCCCATGAATACCAACACTTACGATTAGATGTCTTGAGTCTTGAGGACATTTAAGTTGCTTCTGTCTACAACAACTGTTCCATTTGACCCTGCATCTTCTCTAAGCTCTCTGACCTGTCGGTGTCAAGTCCCTCTCCTCATTGCGCTTCCTGGAGAGTCGCACGCGCACGCGGCGCGGGATGTTGCGGACGCCATTGCTCCACAGGAACTTGTTCAGCTTGGTATCGATGCGAACCTGAAAACGTGTTGACCCACCCCAGGATCGGGGTAGCTTAAGGACCCGCAGACTGCAGGACAAGATGTGACAAAAGGAGAACAAGGGCCTGCGCAAACCACACATCAAAGGAATAATTTGTTTGTATAGGCTTCCCACAGCCATGATCCTTCAGGCTTGCCTCACTGTTTGACACCGATTGGCAACACCACCCACTTCGTCTTGAAAATCAGGAGACCCCAAGGGTCAGAGCGCACATCCCAAAACCTACTCTTCTGCCACGTGGCATCTGTGGTCATCATCACCTTGCTGGCAAACTGTCGAACCACACGCAGAGCCCGTGGAGCCCGCTTCTTGAAGGCAACCTGGTGCCGCCCACTGCAGCTGGTGACTCGCCCAAACATGGCGTGTTGACTAAAAATAAAGAATGTCTATCCCCTGCCTACTAGGGTGGAGGCCATCGCTATGAGGTTGGAGGCCATCGCTCTTAGGGTGGAGGCCATCGCTATGAGGTTGGAGGCCATCGCTCTTAGGGTGAAGGCCATCGCTATTAGGTTGGAGGC